TCCTACACAAATACCCCTCGCCTTCTCCCTCCCCCCTCTCCCAGGACATGCATAAAACTCAATGTCATTCAGAAGAGTGATGTAAAAACTTTTTTTAATACAATGAAGTCTGGAGTAGCAAGGCAGTTCATCTTTTTTATTTGGTGAAAAGCTAAATGCTTACTTATGAGTCCAGTTGCAAATAGGGTTGGGTCTATTCAACTTGACCACACCCATCTGGCTGGCTTCACATTATTAATGTATCCTGGAAATTGGTCTCAACTTTTAGATGAAAAGCTTGGTCCACTTCTGTGATGTTAAATCCGTAGCCTGCCACTCAGGGACTGCCCATGGGGACTCTTGCTGAATGCAAACAGATTGATAGACTAAGAAGATGCCTATTGTTTTCAAGATACTTATATAATCACCAGTTTTTCTGTAATGTACTCAACACCAGGAGACATGCTATCTTTTTTTATCTGATTGTGTTCAGCAAGAATCACCTTGGATTTAGTACACATTAATCAGGCCAATAAAATTTATTTTGAACAGTTCCTTATACAAAATAAGAACAAGGTGGAAAAATTAATCATGTCTTCCTTGTTATAGATCAAGTGCAACATTTTATTTAATTGAACAACTATTGATATTTGGATGGAGAGGGGTCAAAAAAGGCAAAAAATTTAGTCTAGAAGTTTAGACCAATTTTTGGGCCCCTGTTTTGTGATACAAGCCCTAGATTTAGCTCACCATATGAAGAAAATCATAAAGCTTGTTACGAGTTAAGTTGAACCAAGTTGATGGGAAGTGTGACATACTTCTAAATTGACCATGTATATGTACAGCATGTGACTCTAATATCTATATAACATTATTTATGACCTCTGGTCATGGTATGTGGAATATTTTTAAATTACACACCTTGGTCAGCAGTGCCTAAGATATATAATAAGGGGGGCATCCTGTCAAATTGGATCTACTAGTATTTTTGAGAATGACAAGTATATCTGGAGGATGTAGTATAAATAATTTTATTTGTCATTTCCACTCCAATGCCAACTCATTTGATCATCTTGACTTCAAAATTAAGTGTTATGGATACTCCTCCATTTGTCATTCAATGCAATTCAATAAATTGATACAATTTGCCTACAGTATGTATGTGTGTATATATTCAAAAAGTTAATTAAATATGTGTTAGTCTGTTGATATTGCATCAAAGTTAATTTGAAAATGGTATAATTTAAAAAAAATTAGTAAAGTTATTAACTTAAAATATACAAGCTAGGATCCAACAAGTCAGTATTTTTCACATTTTACGTAGGCTTTACTTTTATCATTTTGATTGCCTGATCATAATTGCCTTATACTTTTGTAAATATGATAAAGGAAACAATTGGAAAAGACAATTATCTGAGGCATTGGTTTTAGCATACTTAACATTATAATCTCTGTTAGAAATTTGAAATATACTTATGTGAAGCTGGATAAGATAAATGTGTAATCCTTAGTTCTAAGCAGTTTTGAAAAAGGTGGGGAAGAGTTTAACCAAAATGTACCTAATGTCAATAATTTGTTATGGATGTTTGTTGGCAGAAAATAATATACAGTGATCAATAATATTGATTGAAGAGCTGAGTATCATTTGCTGTCTAACATTCATCAGTACTTAGCGTTGTACACTAAATTATTAATGCTAATATTTCAAGAGGAAAAATGTTATTAATGAACCAAATAGTCGCCCTGAGTTTCAGAGGACAGTGGAAATTTGCTTCTCTCCTATCAGCAGGCCTCTCCCAGTAGTAGAAGGGGAATCTCCAATGCCTTTTAAAACGCAGGGTGCATGCAGCATGAGGTGATAAAAATTAAAGTATTTTCCCATGGTCTCTCCCCAAATAAAACATGCCCTAAGATCCTCCCCTTGCAGCACCATGTATACATGACCTCATTGTTATACATGTTACAAATTTCAGGTGTAGGCTTGGCGAGCTATGACTGACAGTGATTTGGCAGGCACCACCACATTAAAAACTGCCATTGCAACGTCGGATGTAGCAGAGGGTTATAGTAGCAGAGGTAGTGGTGAAAGTGGTGAAAGTGGTGATAAAACAAAGGAGAACAACAACCTGAAAGATCCCACCATGTTGAGCACCGGTTTTGTCCAAATGAAAACTTCAAAAGTGACTCAAAGGCCCCAGGGAGATGATAGGGAGATGGCTCCCAGTGACAGTGGTGTTAAAGACGCTTCTGTAGTCAAAGGGCAATCTTTGTCAAGTTTGCCTAAAGATGAAAGGAATAAGCAGACTGAAAACACGCCTTTAGTCATAGTGAATGGAGAACATGATAGAAGGTGAGTTCAAACTTTCAGCTGAAATTGGATACTTAATAGCATATTATATATGATTTATGCTTTAAGTCAGATTTGAGGAGAAATGCATGACAAATATTTCACAATATTCTTTTATTACATCAGTAAGATGATATATTGTGTGAGTGATGGTTTCTTTATTACCTCAATTTTCCATTGTATCATACAAGGAAAGTCTGGAATTGCTCAGAGTCATGGGTATTTTAAAGGGCATGCATGACAAAATTTCCATAGTAGGCTGCTTTATTAATTTCAAATATTTGACATGGCAACTTTAATATGGCAAGCATTCTGTAAAGGAATCAATGACAATTGTTCTGTTGCATTCCTGACCAGAATTTTGCATCCAGGCAGTGTGATTTTGCAAAACTGCAAAGAAATTGGATGAAAATACAACCCTCATGTGATCATCTCATCAGTTTCAGCAGATGGTTAAATTGAGATGTATAGATTTTTTGTTCAGTTCTTATATACTTCCCTGGGCATGCAAAGGAGTCTACAAAATCCATACCAAGGTTGAGCAGTTGGTTATCCATTATTGATCTGCCGACCTGCCAACCCGAGTCATGGAGAAATCTGGAGACTAGCACACAAATCCCCGAGTATCACAATGCTAACGAGATAAGCCTTGAACTCTGCTGTGTATATGTGTACATATATATGTGTATAGGAGGTTAAGTGTCCTTCATGCACATGAACTGACCATAAAATCATTACGGGGCAAAGGACGGATTATCTCTAAGTGGATGAGTTGATTATACAAAAGCCAGACTATCCTATGTAACATGAGGTCCCCGTAATCTCTCCCTTGGACCTAAATAGAGAAGGACAAGTAACGCGGCATCTTCCTTTGAAGCTATGTGCGTTCGGGTAAACATTCGCCTATTGTCTCACATAATCTGTTTTGATAGCTCCACGGGCGTCTGAACAGCTCATTATCAAGGTAGCACGCGCTGTGCTTCAGTGCATTTCTATTGTTTCTCTGCATTGATAACGCAATTTCTCGCAGTCCCTCGTGGTTGCTATGATACAGCATTGCCGCCATCTTGCAGTTGCGAGCACACAGGTTTCCGTCAACACGTGGAAATTTTTTTGAGGGGTTTTCGGCATTTTTCCCCATTACCTCATAAAAACGGGGTGTGAAATTAATCTCAGTTTGTCTTCAATACCTGCTGTCTTTCCCTGCCCGTGAGGTAGTCTCTGACAGGACAGGAATACGCACCCAACGACCGGAAATCTCATTCCTACATGTAGCTGTCACACCCCGGAAGATCAATCAAACTTACACAAGAACTGACTGCTGGTGAATCAGACAAATTAAAAATGGACCTTTTTAGCATGTTTGTGAAATTATATATTACCATTAGAGGCCACTCATTTCGCAGACAGCTTAAAGAAAAGTACCAAGAATCTGTGTCTGCATCTACGAAAGAAAAAGGATTGAGAAGGTCTCTCAAAAGGAAGAGTAGTATTACAGCTTGAATTATTACCTAGATTTTCAACAAACAGACAGTATGATCTTGTGCATTAATAACATTTGGGTTTTTTCACTTAGCAATTAAGATCTTAATTAGAAATTTCTTCTAGGTTTACATTAATTTTAATTAGTTATTTAAAAGTCAGATTTGTCGTAT